CGGAAGTTGTAACGCGTATGTACACTTTTATTTATATATATATATATATATATTTTTTTTTTTTTGGTACGGTTTTAAGTATTATTATTATTATTATTATTATTATTATTATTATGACTATTACCGTTTTTTTGTTGGGTTTCCGGAAACGATTAAAAAAAAAACCTATATATCCTTAACCGTCCGTAGTCTATATCCGTGCATGAATGTTTCGTTTCTTTTCCTTTCTTTCAACTCTCTCTCTCTCTTTTTACAGACGTATTCTTTTTATCCTTTAAGTTTATTTTAAACATTTTTACTGATCAAATCGTCGAAATAAAAAAAATACGTACGTCAAAAGTTAGTTCCACGATGATAATAATAACGAAGAGAAGACAAAAAAAAAAAAAACAACTTTAATAATGTGAAGAGGTCAGAGAAAAAAGTGATATTGTAATGCAAGAAGATGTCACGAACAATTTAAAATAATAATAATAATGATGATAATAATGATAATAATAATGATAACGTTAAAGATAAATATCTTTCGAAAAGGAAAAAAAAAAATTAAATTATAGTTTTTTTTTTTTGGAAAAGTTTTTTACGCGGCTTGGATTAAAAAAAAAAAAAATTAATTTAATATGAAAAATTATTACAATTGCTGAGAAAGAGAGAGAGAGAAAGAAAGAGAGTGAGAGGAAGAAGAGAGAGAAGGAAAATTCGATTTGAATGATGATAATAAGTACGTTTAATAAAATAACGACGGTAATTTTTGGGTTTTTTGCTTAATAAAGACAAACAACAACAACAAAAAAAAATACTTAATTTTTTTGTTTTGTTGTATAGCGCGCTATAAAAACCTTGACACGGCAACAAACAAGCAAGTTTTATATTAAAACAATAGATAAAGAGAGAAAAACAACAACAAACTACGGCATAATATTAAGTAAGAAAAAGAAGAAAATAAAGTAATCAAAATTAAATTTCACGTGATAATTCGATGATAATAATAATAATAATAATAATAATAATAATAATAATAATATGTAAATTTTAAATTAAATCCTTTTCAAAAATATAGCATCTAATATGTCTATAAAAAATTTCGAATTAAAAACGTCCATAATCTTTATAGAACTTTTTTTTTTTTAAATTTGGTTAAATGTGTAACATTAAAACAAACGAATAGAAAAACTCGGAAAATAAATTTTTTTTTTTTGCGCACGCGCAAACGGACGAACGCACGCATAAATTTTTAAATCGTCATTTTCCCCTTTTTCGTTCTGTTAAAATCCCGATAAGAAAAACTGAAGCATTTGGAAATTCTCTGGAGAGAAAAAAAAGGAAAAAATAAAAATGGTATGAAAATTCAGGAGCCGGAGTCCACGCACCCTGTCTGTTAACAAACGAAAAAAAAAAAAACCGAATCGTCGCCATCACCTGTACAAACAAACAAACAAAGGTAACAAACCGCTCGTGGAATTATTCACGTTTACATTTGAACTTAAAATGTTTTTACAAAAGAATATTTCTTTCTCTCTCTCTCTCTAATTTTATTTTATAGCGCTATAAAGTAAAAAAATAATATTTATTTTTTTTTCACCGTCCGCGTTCAACCATTTAAAAAAAAAAAAAATTAAAACTTTTTTTTTTTGCGTGAACCCCAACAATTTTACGCACGTAAAACAACTGGGTATGCTTTGAATCGTAGCAAAAAAAAATCAATCGGAAGTCATTGTTTTCCTCATTAAAAATGCAAAATAATAATAATAATAATATCAAAACAAATTTTTTTTTAAAGCCTTAAAAAACTATAAATTTCAGGTTCGAAACATTCATTGACGACAACAAAATACAAAAAAAAAGGACCATCTCCGCGTAAACTTCTAAAATAATAATAATCATAATAATAATAATAATTTTTACTTTATTATTCGAGTCAAGTTTTTTTTTTGTGTGTGTGTAACGGAAACGTTTGAAAATTTAACAAATTTTCGGAGTTTTCTTTTCTTTTCTTTTCTTTTTTTTTTGTGTGCGTAAAAGGGAAAATGTTTAATGGGAGACGAGATGTTTAGGAGAGGGGTGGTAGAAAAAGGGGGGAGTAAAAAAGAAAACAAAAAACCTACCGATGAAGAAAAATTTTTACAAATGGAGGACTAATTATTTGAATCGCAATGAGAATTTAAATCACGTAACGTACGCACACAAAACGTATATTTCTCTTTTTTTTTTTTTTTTTAATTGACTACCAGTTATTATTATTATTATTATTGTGAACCCCTGGCAAAACTATCGTGAAGGGAACTTTAAAAGCGAGAGAAAGAGAGATAGAAGAAGGGAGGAAGGGAAAATAAATTGAAACACGTTCAGAAATTTTTCTTTTTTTTCCCCTTCTCCTTCTTCAATGTTATTAAGAATTAAACAAAGCGATACATCGATCGATGGATCGATCGATGGATCACTTCCACTTTGTAAAAACGTTGACGGACGACTTTTTATCCCGAAAAAAAAAAATGTGCGTGTGCGTTCATGAGCATGGAGAAAAAAAAACTTGCCTATTCGCCTACGCATTTTTTTCTCGAACATTTCGTAAAATATATATAAATAAATAAATAACTTTTGAATTTTTTTCTTTTTTAATTTAAAAAAAAAAAAATTGATTGGATTTTGTGACAATTTAAAAATTGGAAAAAAAAAAAAAAAAACTCTCGAAACACGTGATCATGATGTCAACCACGAATTTATTTATTTATTTTTTTCATCGTAATTAAACGAGAGAATCGTTCGTTCGATTAAAAAAAACAATCTTTTACCACTTTTTCTTTTTTCCTTTCCTCGCGCAATTCTCTCCTCTCCCCTTCCCTCTCCTCACCACTCTCCATCACGCACATGCTTATCCCGTAATATATTCATCACATTATTTCGGGTTTTCCTACGCTTTCGCCCACTAGGCAAAATTTCAATTAATTTTTTTTTTCTTTTTTTCTTTTCCCTCCTTCCCCCTACTAAATTTTCTTTTTTTTTTTTTTGTAGTTTTGGGAAACGAAAAAAAACCTTTTTTTAACCTTTTGATATCAGCAAAATTGACTTTATCCCTCCGAAACTTTTTTTTTTCCTTTTCTTTTTTTTTTTTTTTTCTTTTTTTTCCCGACTATAAAAATTAAAACTCTCTTGTTGGTTGATGTTCGATTCTCATTCGTGATTTCCTTTTTTTTTTGTTCAGAACCTTTTTTTTTTTTTTTAACTCTTCTCGGGATTCAAAACGCGTCAATTTTATACCGTTAAAAAAAAAAAGATTAAGGGGCAAACCTCGAGGTTATATATATATATATTTTCATAAATTAAAAAGAAAAGGAGAATGACAAAGAAAAGAAAAAAAAACCGGAAATGAGTAATGTTAAAGACAACGATTGAAAACATTATAAAAAAAAACTACGCGAACAAAGTCTGTTTGGTAAAAATTAAACCAATCTATTATTATTATTATTATTATTATTATTATTATTATTATTATTAATGTTATCGGTCAGGAATATCATCAGCACCGATGATGATTCAGTTTTTTTTTATTACCGTCTCCCCACCCTATATGTCTCTCTCTCACTTTTTCTCGTTATCTACGACACTCCTGCCTACATCGTCTGTCTTTTCTGTCTTTCTTATCAATGTTGCCACCACGTTGTCGCCATAAAAAAAAAAAAATTCACGACACGTAACCCGATCGAAAATAAAAAAAAAACTTTTTAATTAATAATGAAATATTATTCCAACGAATATCACATAATCTACCTGAAAAAATGTTACGTAATCAGAAGAAGAAAAAAAAAATTTTTTTTTTATAACGATCGAATCTTGATACGAACCTAAATCGTTTGTTTGTTTGTTTGTTATTGTATTCGGATATAATAATAATTAACGACATTTTTTTTTTTTTGTTTCTGCGACACGAACGAAATTTTTGTATCTTGAAATAATAAGTAGTGGATTCTTTTTTTCTTTTTCGAAATAAGAAGAATTTTTTTTTTTTTTTTACCACTTTGAGGTGGTAATTTATCAACTGTCATCATCAAAACCTGAAGAACCATCTTTCGGTTCGGTTTCCTCGTGAACATAGAAAACATAAATTTAAATCCATCCGTCGTTTTATTTATTTACTTTTGTTTTATGTTTTTTTTTCTTTTGTATTTTAAAGAAAAAATAGAAAAGAAAATTTTAGAAAATTTACAATTTCAAATTGTCGTAAACTATTTTTCAAAAAAAAGGGAAAATAAAAAGCCACGAACGTAACACGACAACAACAACAAGAAAACATTTTATTTCATCATCATTGAATGAATTTTCTCTTTTTCAAAAAAAAAAAAAAAAAACCGTTAAAAAAAATGGACGAAAAGAAAGAAAGAAAGAAAATAAATAAAACCGAAGTAATGTGAAACAAAGAACAATTTTGAGACACTTTACTTTTCTTTTTCCCCTCCCTCCCCTTTCCTCCCCACAATTACAAATTTAAAATTACTCCGATTTCTTAAAAGCACCTTTTTTCAAACTCATCAATTATTGTTTTTTTTTTTTGTTTGTGATTTAATAATAATAATAATAAAATTTTATAAAAATTATTATTTTTCCTTTTTCCATTTTGTATCAATCAATCTTTTGATTTTTTTTTTTTTAAATTTAAGATTGAATTGTTTTGCGTCGTCGTCGTAGTTTACAAAAAAACAATTTAAATTTTTTTTTTTTTTGTGGATGGATAACGAGTATCTTTTGCGGGTATCCATTTACGCACCAATAAATCTTTAATGGACGATCACGTAACAAGAGTTATACTAAGTTATATAAGAAACAAAAGAAGAAGTGGACGTGGTTGATTTTAATGTCGTATAATTTCCGTTTTATTCATTTTTATAATCACACCTTTTTTTCTCTCTTTAGATATATTCGTGTTGTTTTTGAAAAAAAAAAAAGAAACAATTGGATAAAAAGAAAGAAAGAAAAAAAAATACTCACTTGCCGAACCGCAGGGGTCACACCAGGTAAGCCTGTACGCCCGATGAATCGACTATGGAATCTGCCGGCCTCCAGGGAGCTCCCGGTCGTTGTAGAACTCCATTTTGCCGCCTGTTTGAATTTCTTTCGAGCGTCGAATAGTCCGAATCTATTGATGAATATATGTGTTCGGAATTAGGCCTAGAATTTTGATCGTTTGACGATGATTGATGCCTGTGCGAAGGCTTCGGAGAAGGTGTAGCCGTCGCCGCGGATGAATAATTGGCATCGTCGACGTCTTGGCTTGTCGGAGGAACGTTGGCACAATACGCGGGTGGAGCCATGTCGTTCATGGCGGCGGCCATTGCCGCTTTAAATAAAGGATGACTATTTACATGTTGTTGTATCGACGAAGGGGAAGATGGATGATGAAGTCTTTTAGATTTTTCCGGATAAGAATGATGTCCACCATTTCCAACGCTGGAATCCAATGTGTAATTGTTTATGTTGCGACGGTAGTTGGTGCTCTTGGTGTGATGCTTGTCCCCGCTGGGCATCGCGTATCTAAGCCGCTCCCAAAACCGTTTTTCTCCCCACCTCACTCGTGCTCCGGTTTTGAGATACGGTCGAAGATCTGGATCCAGTTCCGCCTCGGGCAAACTGCTTCCCTCTTCGACGAGTACAAGTTTGAAGATGCGCCCTTTCAATGCTTCGTGCAACGCTTGACGAAATTCAAACCGAGACCATTCGGTCTGTAAAAAATTTCTAGACAAAACTAATATGACTCTCCTGCTCGCTTCGGCGGCTTCCACAACGACCGGCGAAGTGTTTTGCATGTACGGAGACGGTTGGGGAAGATCTCTGTAGTGAAGACACAATTGAAAAGAAGGCGATCCGTGTTCGAGTTCAGCGACGATGCTTTGCAAAACGAATTCTTCGTCTTTCGGACTGTAACATACGTAACCGTCGTAAAGTTTTTCTCTGTCTTCGCAACTTCCCATTCCACCTTTGAAATTCCATATTCTCACACCGTATTTCGTGTAAACCCACACTTTCAATGAATCTCTAAATATAAACACGAGCATCATTACGAAAAGAATCAGTACGAAAGTCGATAGCGTAACAATGACCATTGGCCAATAGTGCGATACCATCAAACTTTGAATGACCGAACTTCCGGAATAGTAATCACTGCATGCCGTGTTATTAATATCAATACTTCTACGATAAGGAGGCCGGGAATTATTATCGACGCACATAATTTCCGAACTGTCAGTCACTTTGGGTTCGTTATCCGAAATCCACGTTTGTAGTTCGACTAAAAATTTACACCGGCACGACCACTGGTTGTTGCTTAAGGTAACCTCAACTAAATAAGTGTTTAACGTTAGTTGCCACACGGGAAAGGTAACCAAACGATTGTTGTCCAATCGTAGTATTTCTAAAGAGCGAAGCGGAAGCAAAGTCATGTTACCTATGTGGGATATTTTATTATTTTGCAAATAAAGTTCTCGAAGGTGGGAAAGGTGTTCGAATTCGAAACCTTTCAAGGCGTGAAGGTTGTTATCCTCCAAATGAAGGATTTGTAAAGAATTCAAACCGTTGAATGTTCGATTTTGTATCGATTCAACATGACTGTTGTTCACGTATAAAACTCTCATGTTTTTACGTCCGATGAAAACGTGATTTTGTAATTCTTTTAAATGATTACCGTCTAAATACACTTCATTTGCGTCCATGGGTATTCTAACGGGTATTTCATTCAATTTTCTATTCGAACATTCTACGATGTTCGTCGTCCACAACTGATCGTGGTAACAAGAACAATTTTGCGGACACGTCATTTCGCAATCGCACGCGTCGTAATCGCAACAGTGACAAAGTGTGAAACAATGAGTGTCGTATTTACAAAGGAAATCCGAAGATTTCGTTTCCGTCGTCGGTACGAGCGTCGATCCTCTCGAAAACGTCAACCTGCACATGACGTTATCCAAATCCATGACTTTCGGATATTGGCGGAGGGTCATGTTGTTGATCATTCCCAACCAATCCATTGTGCAATCGCAGTGAAAAGGATTCCCTCCGATGTAAAATTCCGGAAGTGTTTTGTTTTCCGGCACTTGTTTCAATCTCAGAGAATTTATATCTAATTTTTCTATTTGATTCGCGTACATGTCGACTCGAGCCAAATTGGACTTGTCGTAAAACGTGTTCGGATGTACGTTCGTTATGAAATTATTATTTATAAAAACTAATTCGACGCTGTTGGGAATCGAGAGGGGCGATATGCTCGATATGCGATTATGACTCGCGTCTAACGTTCTCACGTGCAACTCATCTTGTATTTTATAATAATTTCCTAAACTTTCTATAAAATTACCGTGAACGTCCAACCATTTTAAATTTAACGGTATGAAGGCATAATCGAACCACACCAAATGATTTTCCGACAGGTTCAACCACAGCAAACTTTGTAGAGATGAAAAAACTCCGTTTATGTCTACGATGAAATTAGCATCGAGTCTTATCGCTTCCAATTGCGTGTTGTAGTGAAACGTGCCGTGTTCTATTTGTTGAATTTTATTCTTTGCCAAATTGAGAACTTGCAAACTCGGAAGATCGGAAAACATTCCTTTCGTGAGGTTTCCTATGTCGTTATCAATTAAACGCAATCCCGTCAATTGCGATAAACCCTTAAACGACCCGTTACGAAATCCGCTAATTTTATTTTCTCCCAAATCAAGAGTTTTCAAAAATGATAATTCTCTCAGAGCTTCTGGAACTTTTTCCAGTGCGTTCGAACTTAAATCTAATTCTTTCAAATCTGAGCAATTGCGAAAAGCTTGCTGATCGATGGATATGATCATGTTTCCGCTCAGCGTGAGTTTGCTCAACACGAACAAACCGTTGAAAAGATGAGCGTCGATGTTGTGCAAACGATTTTCGGCCAGGTTCAACGTGTGAAGGTTGTACAACGGAAGGAAAGCGTTGTCCTGTATGTGTTGTATGGAATTATTTCGAAGGTCGAGGATTTGTAAAAAGAAAAGATCTTTAAAAGTCTTTGCTTCAATTCGGTTTAAAGAGTTGTGTGATAAATTCAATACGATCAGTCTTATTAATCCGAGAAATGTACCGTCGTCGACGTGGTTGCTCGTGAGCATGTTACCGGACAAATCGAGTACCAAAAGTTGCTCCAAGCGGTGAAATATACCCGCGGCCAATTCCGTCAAACCATTGTTTTGCAAATATATCTCTCGTAATTCTCTTGAACTCACGAACAAACCTTCCGGTAAAGATCTCAGATTGTTGTTTGAAATGTTTAATACTCTTAATGATAACAATCCGGCAAACGCGCCGCTACCGATTTCCGATAAGAGGTTATTTTGCAAGTAAAGACCTTGCAATCTTTTTAATTTAATCAAATCGGAATCGTTTTTAAGTAATTTAATATCGTTGTAAGACACGTCCAAATGTCTTATGTCGATCCCACCGGAACATTCGGCGACAGAGGATGAGGAGGACGAGGATTCCCTCGATATCCTCGTACCGAATCCAATTTTATTCACATCCCTAATTCGGTTTCTCGTTAAATTTAAAGTTTGAAGATTTACGAGAGGACAATAAACTTCGTCGGGTATGGCTTTTATGTTACTCCAACCCAAATCCAATACGTGAAGTTCTTTCAAACCGGATAGCGAACCCTCCGACACGTCTAAAACTTTTCCCTGCGACCAATCCGAATTTCTCGTGTGCACTGATAATTTTCTCAATTCTCTGAGTCCGTCGAAACCGATGGGAAGCAACTTGAGAATTTTACATGAATCCAAAGTCAATTCTTCCAAGTGAAGGAGCCTGTTCACAGCGGGTGGAACGAAACTCTCGTGAAAAACGTTTTCCCGACACGTAACCGTGAGTCGAAGGATTCCATCCGGTTGCAAAGAGGTCAAACCGTTCACGTCTAAGTTTTTATATGTGCACGACACGGTCATTTTACTACTCGTCGTTTCGTTACCGGAAGACCAAACGCAATCGCTCGGCGGTTCATATTTTGCCGTCGCGGGAATCGCGAGAAAAAATGCGACGACTAAAAAAACGTGTCCGCAACAACTCTGCGGTCCACGTTTTTGCGACAACATTTTTTCCCCTTTTTTTTTTAATTCGACAACAAACAAAAAATTACCCTCTCGTGGTAACAAAAATTTTTTTTTTTCACGTTAAATTTCTCGTTTGCAATTTCATGACCTTTAATTTTACCGTATCTGTTTTTTCATTCCATCTATATTTCTGCTAAACAACTACTACAACTACTACTACTACTGCTACTACAACTGCTGCTGCTGCTGTTACTACCAGCACGAGCGTAACGAAACAAATTTAAAAAAAAAAACCACGCAACGAAAAAAAAAAAAACACTAAAATTTTCTTTCTCTCTTTCTCTCCCTCTCTCTCGCACTTATTATTTCTTCACACATTTAAAAAAAAAAAAATCAATCCGATATTTTTTTTCTCATTTTTAAACTTTTTTTTTCTATTATTATTATTATCCGAACGATAAAAAAAAAAAATTAATTATTAATTAACTAAAATCACTATAATCCTCTGTTGTTGATAATAATAATCCAGGCATTTTGGTAATCCAAATATCGAAAAAAAATCGTTACGGGATAAATATTTAAAAAAAATAATAATAATAAGTTCTTAAAAACTTTACTACAATATATTTGTTTGTATGAAATAATTATTATTATTTACCGCGGTAATAAACACTTTTGTTTAACGACAAAAACAAAAATTTTTTTCCCGTATCCGATTTTCACTTCGAAAAAAAAAAAAAATTTAAACACAAACAAAATTTTATTTGTAAAATAATAATAATAATATTAATACAGGCAGAAAGAAAAAATATCGCACACGCACAAAAAAAAATTTAAAGAAACCAAAAAAAAAAAAAAAAGAAAAGGAAAGAAAAAAAAGTTCGATACTGGAACGGACTCGAAAACAACCGACAAACGACTAATCATGGAACTCGACGCGACCAGTTTCTAAATAGAAAATGAACCGTATTTTTAAAATGGTTATATTCACAACAAATGAATTAGTTCTTTATTTTCCCGTTTGGAGCAGCAGTAGCCAACGCATGACAATTGCCAACCTAATTTTAAACAACACAGTCTTTGTCTCTGTCTCTGTCTGTCTATCTATCTATCTATCTATCTATCTATCCATCTATCTGTTTTTTCCGCTGTCTGTTTCTTCTGTATTATCTAATTAATCATTCTTTTTTCTCGGTTTTTCCTTTTTTTTTTCTAAAAGGAAAAGTTGAAAAGCTGCTACTTTTCATTATCAACCTTTTTCCTTTTTTTTTTTTTTTTTGTTATAATTTTTGACCTTTTTTTTTTGTAAATTTTATTACTTAAATGAATTAAATAAATAAATAAAACACTTTCGCTTTGTCCTTTTTTTCCTTTGTGTAAAAAAAAAAAAATTGTTGTTTTTTTTTCCAACCGGAAGTGACGTTAAAAACTCGATCGATTTATAAAAAATTTTCACAGAATTTTCTTTTTTATTCTTTTAATGTTTGTAATAAAAACAATAAGTCGAGCCTTTTTTTTTTTTATTATTATTTCGCAAGCATCAAATTTCAAAAAATTACCTTTTTTTTTTTCACTTTCTGTTTGGAAAATTATATTACTTTTTATATTTTCAATAAGGTGACGAAAAAGAGTAAAAGGAAAATATTAGGGGGAAAAGAGAGAGAAAGAGAGAGGGAGAGAGAAAAACGTTTTCAAGAGTATTAAAGTGAAATTTAATATTTCGTATTAAAATTAAAAAAAAAAATTTTTTTCATTTTTTTTTTGTTTCCTTTTCCGTCGTCGAATGACGTGGAAAGAGTAAAAAAAAAATACGAACGAACGAGTAATTATTAAAATATTAAAAAATGATAAGATGTACTCTGATTTTCTATTGACACGATTTCTTTTACCATCACCACCACTTCCCAAATTTTTTATTAACGACGGAAAAAAAAAACAAAAAATATCCCGGAGTTAATTTTACAAAAAAAAAAAATTGACATTTTCCTTTTTTTTAATTTTTGACGTGACATTAATTTCTTTTTTTTTTTCTTCTTACACTTTCCCTAAAATATTTAAATTTTTTGTCAAAATGCCGCGTAATCAACTTTTTAAATAAACTGACCTATAACTCTCAGGCATTTTTCTTTTTTATTTATTTAATTTAATTTTTTTTTTCTTTTTTTTGTGCTAAATAAATTTAAGAAACGTAATCAAATATTATTATTATTATTACTACTAACACAATAATGATAATAATAATAATAATAAATTTTTTTAGAAAAACCGTTTATTGCTTACACGATAAAAATTTTTAATAACATCCAAGAATTGATTATGTAACACGATCGCGATATACTTACAATCGGACGATTGTTTAAAATCCGTTTTAAAAAAAAACTCGCGTAAGTAAAAAAAAAGGAAAACAAAGGAAAAATTATTTAAGGTAAAAGGAAAAAAGGAAAAAAAAAGTAAACGTCGGGAACCGATAGAAAAAAAAAAATTGTTTGCACTGCTTTTGATGTATATAATTTGATATTAAATTTTTTTTTTTTTTACACGAGCGCAAGTTTATTATTATTATTATTATTATTACTATGATGTAAAGAAAAATTTTTTTCGATTCTCCAGAGTAACGTTTGTCAATGCCTAAAAACCTAAGAATGTGAAAAATAAAACGAAAGAGAGAGAGAGAGCGAAAGTGAGAGTAAGAGTGAAAGAGGGTGAAAGAAAGAGAAAAGAGGGAAAAACAAACGAAAAAGATAAAACGAAAAAAGGAAGGGAGGACGAGGGGGGATGAGGAGGAAGAAGAAGGAATAGGAGAAGTGGGGTGGGTGTGGGTGTGGGAGGGAAGGGAGAAGAGGGGAGGAGAGAAAAAAAATTCTTTTTTAAACAAGAGTTAATGCTGTTGGCGATGGTAGATTTGTTACTGGAGCTTTTATGCTAATTTTTTTTTCTCCAGTTTTTCCAGTTATTTTTATTTTCGGTTTTTTTTTTTTATTTTTATTTCTCCCTATCGTACTTATTCCATTACATTCTTCTTCCACGTCTTCGGGGTAAATATGGTTTTATAATATAATCGAATTTTAAAAACGTAAAAATTTTCATTTTATTTATATACATACACACGAAAAAAAAGGTCACGTTTTGTTGTTGTTGCGGTTGTTGTTGTTATGGTTGTTGTTTTTGTTATTAATTGACAAAAATAAATGAGTGAAAAATTTTTTCTATTTACATGATTTATGTACCTGATCGTGTATCATTTATTTTTTATGTTGATGAAATAATCAATAGAATCGATAAGATAAAAAAGGATTCGATGGTGTTAATAATAATAATGATAATAATAATAATAATAATAATAATAATATTTATCCTTAGGTAATTTTTTTTTGTCTTTATCTTTGTCAGAGTTGAAAAAGGTCAACAACAAAAAAAATTCTTTTTTTTTTTTAAAATGATTTGTTGTCATCTATTAACAAGTTATTAAAACAAACACCAAAAGGTCAAATTTTTTGTAATTTGAAAGTCGTGGTACTAAATGAATATAAATAATAATAATAATAATAATCAGGTACGATAACAAAAAAAAATGGCGTTTTAATTTATCGTATTGTAAAGTTACGTCGTCCATCTTTTGTTTTTTTTTTTTGTATAACAAAATTTCTGCGGTTTTTTTTTAAAGGTGGTGCCAATTGTTAGAGACAAATATTTTTTTTACAAAGGTGGTAAAAATGTTGAAATCGTTCATCAAATCCGACAGCAGGAGAACAACATCCGACGTCCATTTTTTTTTTTTTTTTTTATTTCGTGAGTAATGAGAAAAAAAAAAGAAAATCCAGTAGGAAGAAGATTTTTTTATTTATGTATGGAAGAACATTTTGAAAGAAAATTTCATCTCAATAAATTAATTCCAAAACGGGTTTTTATACATTTCCAGGAACAGGAGGAGGAGGAAGAGTAGAAGAAATTCACAAAGGACTCGACATCAAAGGTCCCAAGTGTCGCATTTTCAACAGCGACATCCGACATTTTTCACTTATACGACGACAAAGAAGAAGAATAAGAAGAAGACGAAAACGTCCGACCATTTCACACGGAAACCAATTTTTTTTGTTGTTTCCGGTTGTTTGGCCGGTTGTTTGTTGTGGTCGTCGTCCTCTCCTCGTCGTCGTCGTCGTTTCCACCACCTTGTCACAACCTGGAAAAAAATCTGTCATTTGTTAAATATTATTTGATTTTCTTTTTTTATGCGTTTGTTTTCTTTTTTTTTCTCTTGGTATAAATATAAAAAGGTTTATTTTTTTTATGCCACGACATTTTTTTTCTTTTTTGATTTTCTTTTTTTTTTTTAAATGTCATTTTAAACTTCCTCATCTTTTTCTTTCTTGTTTTCTTAAAAAAAAAAAAAAGGAAGTTTTTTTTTTTTCGGCAAAGCAGTTTCCTTTTTTTTTTCTTCTGTCTTTCCTTTTTTCTTTCTTTTTTTAGTTATTTTTTACTGTTTCTTCCATTTTTCTTGTTGTCTCTGTCTTTTCTTTTTTTTTCGTTTCAACATTTTCATTGATTTTTTTATTTTATTTTATGATAGTCTTTAAAAAACATTTTATTTTGCATCCCAAAAAAATTTTTTTTTTTCTTCTTCTACCATCCTCTTTAATTTTATCCGATTTTTCTTTCTCTCTCTCTCCCCTCCTCCCTCCTCTTTACTCTCTCTCTCTCTTTCTTTCTTTATTTTTAAATTTTTTTTTATTCTTCTTCTTTTCCTCTATCTCTCTTTCTCATTTGATTTAAGTTTTGATAGGAATTTTGATTTTTTTTTTTTTCTTTATTAAATTTAAATTAAAATTTTTCAGTTTTCTCTCCTTTCCCCCTTCGTCTTCCCTCTCCTCCGCGTTTCTTCATCTTTTTCCTCTCCCTCTCACTCTTTCTTTCTTATTATTATTTTAATATTTCCAGCAGGAGCAGCAGCAGCAGCAGAAACAGCAACAGCAGCTCCTTCTTTTCCCTTTTTTTTCTCTTTCTCTCTCTCCTTTTTTTTTTTTTAGCTTTTAGCTTTTAGCTTT